GTGACGGATCCGGCTTGGGTGCCTCTCCGCGGGCCGCCGCGCAGGTCTCCGGCCGACTCCCCAGCCTCGTGAAGTGGGGGCTCCGCTCCAGCAGCATAGGCCCAGGTCTGCGTCTCAGGACCCCAGTCTATGAAATGGGCGTAGTGGAGCGGGCTCTGAAGCCGGGCTTAGGTCCTCTCTGGAGCTGCCTCCAACATCAGGTAGATCGGGTTTACCTGGGGAGGCGTCATTTATTCATTCAACAAACACCTGTAGGAGCACGATTGCCCCGCCTTTGTTAGGCGCTGGAGATGCAGTGAACAGCGAGGCAGGGTCTTTGCTAACTTGGTGAGTGCATCTCACCCACAACCAGAAACCAATTCCCCCAAAGTTTTGAAACTAAATAAAGCTTATTCACAATAAATATTATGAATGCACTAACTTCCCCTGGACTGTACATTTTAAAAATGGTCAATTGTATGTTTTGTGACTTTCACCTCAGTTAAGAGAGAAAACAGACCCTCATGGAGAAGGTGCTAGTTCTAGCTTTTTCTTTCACTTTGCGGGCAACTGCAGCCCTGCCCTGATATGACCCTGTTCCTCAGTGAGGGGATGAGGGAGGCTGGTGTGTCTACCCTCTGACCAGAGCCTTTATGAGCTGAATTTATCCATCCTCAGCCTCCCCTTTCACTGCTGGAGAGAAGCCACCAGCCACCTGTTCACCAGCTCACCCCATGCCACCCCCAACATCTCAAATGCGACCTACCTCTTGAGGAAGGGGGTTGAAGGCATCTGTCTCCCGGATTGATCTTCTGTGAGCACAGACCCCACCCCACCCCCACTCCCCGATGGTCTAGGTCGCAGTTACCCCAGTTGCTCGGACCTCAAGTCCAGGAGTGGGCTGAGGAGAGAGCGGATGGACACGGTTGTGACGAAGACTGCTCCGAGGGTCTCTTCTGTGCTTTCCTCCGTTCCCAGTTTTCTGAGCATGATTCTAGAAACTGACTTATCAGTACTAGTCCCAAATCCTGTCTCCCAGCCCTGTCCCTTCCCTTCCCTCCCCCAAACAGGTTGTTTTCAGTTCTGGAAAGCCTATGGGGGAAATACGGACAGAGATGACAAGAACCCTTCCCCCCAACCAAGGCATCCTGGGCACTGGAAAGAGTGACAATGATGGTGGAACCTGGTAGGGAGGAGGGAGGCCCAAAGACAGAGAGGTCCATTGTCCATGGAGGGGAAGGAAGGCCATAGGCCCTGTCCTGTGACACTGACTGTGCCCAGCCACGGGACATGGGTGGGAGATGCTAGCCCCCTTTGGACAGCTGAGACCCAGAGGCCCTGCTGAGTTCCGGATGGACGGGGCAGACAAAAGACAAACAGAACTTGCACAACCACAAGAGAAGGAAAAGCAGTTCAGTTTCTCTACCACCCTACTGCCCTCTTTCTGGCTCTAGGCTACAACAGGGCCACAGAAAAGAGAGAGCAATGATGCGAGAAGCAGGAGGCCCTGAACCAGATTCCTAAATGCTTCATGTCTCGGGTCACACCTCCAGCGGAAAAGTAATAAAGAAAATGGCAAGATCCAGAGAGGACACTTCGGAGTTTTCCACGTCACCCTCATGAAAATTCTGGGAAGGTTTTGAATTTTCCATACGCCAAGACCTCCAGAAAATTTCTGTTTTTTAGACCAGGACAATGATGCAACAAGGGGAGATAAAGAAAGACAGGGAGTGTCCATCTTTCTTCTCCAAACATATGCTCTCCACCTCTCCAATGCTCTTGGGCCTCCAATGGGAGAATCCTGGCCAGAGGGTATCCTCTGGGATAAAAGAAATAGAAGGGTCAAAGGCCAAATGGAAGGGGACACAGCATCTCACACTCATAGGAACACTAAGAGGTCTTTATTGCCCACCAGCCACCATCAGTTCCATCAGTTTCCCAGCCACATGCTGGGCCCTCTGGGTCTCTCCAACCACTCTGAGGACCCCCAAAACACAGCCACAGTCCAGCTCTCTCCTTCCGGGGATCGAGGTGCTCCCTGGGGTAGACAGTGTGGAGGAAGGACCGGAGAGTGAGGGACAGGAAGACCAAACAACATTTCCTGCGGAGAAAGACAGGAGAGAGGGTCCCCTTTTGGCACCCACTATGAAAAGTTGCCCCGAAGAGGAGGACAGGGTGGGAGGGGTCTCCTAAGTTACTTAAGGGATGGCACCCGTGGCAAAGAGCACGATGAAGAGGACGATGATAAAAACGATCACGCAGATGAGGACGATCATCTTCACGTTCTTCCACCAGAACTTCCGAGCCACTTTCTGCGATGTGGTCTTGAAGTGCTCGGACTGTTGGGGATAAGGAAGAGTGACCCAGTGCCTCCTCCCACTGGACCAAGAGTACAAACAGAGAGACCCACCACCTGCCATCCATCTAAATGGTTAAGGGCTGAGTTGAGGTCACAGACTGCTAAATAAAACAATCTGGTGGCCAAGTTCAAAGTTAGAATTCTTGAGCTCTCCTTGGCCCCCTGCCTGCCCCCTTCTCTCTCTCTCTTTCTCCCTCTCTCTCTCTCTCTCTCTCTCTCACTCTTTCTCTCTTTCTTTTAATGGAGGCACTGGGGATTGAACTTGGGGCCTCATGGATGCTAAGTTTGCGCTCTACCACTGAGCTATTCCCACCCCCTGCCTGTTCTCTTCTTACCCCTGGTCTGTCATGCAAACTGAGGGCCCTTTTACACATGCTCACTCCCAGTGTCATGACACTGGCAGCACAACCTGCCCTAGGGAGCGCAGACACCGAGGCTGAGGGGTGCAGACTTCAGGTGGACACATCTCCCTGGTTCCATGACTTCTGGCTCTTGAGGACAGCTGAAGCTGGAGGAAGGGCCAGGGCAGTACAGGGGTTGGAATTGAGGGCAACTGCTCTTCCTTTCCCAACTTGAGTTGCAGAAATTAAGTTTCCCTGGGCCATGCTCCCCAGACTAGACTGTGGAAAGAAACATGAAGTCCCAGGGAGTCAAAGGAGTTGTACTCAAGATTATACCCAGGACTCTGAAAAGATACAGGCCAGTCGCTTCCTATGGACATGGAACGTTAGGCTCCAGCCTTTGCTGAACTTCAGAGTTACTTCCTCCCAGAGCAGCTGGCTTTGGCCTCTGGCTGGAGAGAGAGAATGAGACCTAGCAAGATGTGTGGGAGATATTATTCTAGCCTTCAGCTAGCAGAGGACCCTGCGATCAAAGACTTTTACTGCTCTTCCCAGCTTCTTTTGAAAGCTGACTCAGCAGGACTCTTTCCATCTCCTGCCTAATATATCCTAGGGAAGGCCAAAGGCCCTAAGAGGATTTTTCTGGAGACAATATGCTTGCTCTGGGGAGGCCAAATGATTGTCAAAGGCAGTCAGTTTCAAAGGGAAAGTCAGTTTCATAGGAGAGAAGCCTACAGAAGGCACAGGCTGACATCAACCTCTGAAAATGCCTCCAGGGTCCACCCGGCATCCCCAGCCCCAGCCCTCGAACCCATTCCCTGGACCCCAGTACCAGTCAGTGGAGTAGAGCAGGGGGTAGGATATAGCTCGGTGGTAGAGCATGTGCTTAACATGCACAAGGTTCTGGGTTCGATTCCCAGTACCTCCATTAAAATAAATAAACTAACTAACTAACTAACTAACTAACTAACTGCCCCCACCAAAAAATTAAATTAAATTAAATTAAATTAAATTAAATTAAAAAAGAAAAGAAGTAGGGGTTCATCTCACATCAATTCCCAACACAAGTGAAAAGGCAGATTTCCCTCAGGTTCTTTTTGTCGCCAAGCCCCAAGCCCCTAGTAATCCCCCCCCCACCGTCTTCCTCTGGCCCCCAGGGGGCTCCCCATCATCTCACTGTGGCTTCCAGATCCTCTGTCTTGTTGCGGAGATGGTCCAAGTTTTCTCCCCGGGCCAGGATCCTCTCCACGTTCTGGGTCATAATATTCTTGACTCCTTCCACTTCGCTCCGCAGGTTCCGCACACGGTCATCTCCTCCACCGCCACTGGCCTCCTCCTGAGCGGGCACACAGGGGTTAATCAGGCCAAGTGATGGAGGAACTGAGACTTGGCCCAGCCTCCTGAGGCCAGAGGAGGGGGAGGCCTAAGGTGGACTTTAGCTTTTTGTTATGCTTGAACTGTTTACAAAGAGAGGGTTTTCATGTAGTTCTCATGTAATCAAAAAACGAATGTATTTTTAAGACCCAGATGGTGAGAGCCCGATGCCAGGGGACAGACCAGATAGAACTTTGTAGGTTTTCAGGGAGCCTGACAAGGACAAGAAGCACGCCACCAAATCCCACTCCACTGCTTCCTCACTCCTCAGAGGGGGTTGGAGGAGACATCTGAGCTGGATCTCTCCTGATGCCCAGACCCACCACTATTTACCAATTCTCAGACTCCAAAGGGTCCTCATTAAAAATGCCCATGCCAGCCACTGACCACCCTCACCTAGCCGGATCCTCCCTCTCTCCAGGACAGCAGCTGGAGAGCTATTCCGCGGGCCTCCTGGGCAACCTGACTGCTGAGACCCAGAAGGACGGCAGCCAGCCAGGCTCCAGGTCCCTCACGAGGCCCCATGAGACCAAGCCATTGGGCCACAAACTTCTGCTTTCCTCACCATTTAGCGCCACGAGCAAGCACCACGCCATTGCCTGCATAAGCAAGTATAAAATACAGAAAGCAGACTGGACTTTGCAGGAAATGGAGTGCAAGTCCCCCCTGGCTGATGCCTCATCCCCAGGCTTCATGATAAGGTTTTTGAACAAGGAAGGAAAAAAACTATTAAGCTCCTCCCTCCCTGACCCACTAGACTACCAGATACAGGCCAGGGGTGTGGGTCCGAACTCAATTATCACAGAGAACCAACTTCTGGCTCTTTTACATAGCCCCGGCTCTCTTCCTCTTGCTCATGGAGAGGGGTGAATTCCTTGGACTCGGTGGAGAGACAAATTCTTTGGGTTTCTGTACCGGGATAAAGTGAAAGGCAGAGGGGGATTTCTGCCGCGGGCTGGAATCTGCGTTGGGAACAGCAGAGGCGCTGCCCAGGAATGTCACAACACCCGCAGGCCGGCCGGCGGGAGGAGGAGATGATTCAGGAGCCCCGACCCCAACCGAAGCCCCGCTCCAGGCCAGCACCGGGGTCCGGGGAGGGAGGGAGCAGGGGCGCAGGAACACCCGCCCGGGGCAGCTCAGGGCTATTTGCAGCCAAGCTGTCAAAGAAGAGGGGCCACGGTCAGCGCCGGCCCAGCCCTCGGACTTCACCGCCAGCTTTCGTTTCCTGACGCCCAGCACCCCCAGCCCCGTCTGGCTGGT